GATGCGGTTCAAATTTTAAAAAGCAAATAAAAATAGTTGTAGTTCAGCTTTGTATTTGTGGTCGTAGTTATAGTTAGTTAGTAGTTGTAATTCTAGTTGTTGTAGGGGTAGTGGTAGTGGACGGTGGTTGAAGTTGTAGTCACAATTGCAGCAATTGCAGTTGTAGTTGCATCTGTAGTTTCTAGCTGTAGGTCTTGTATCTTGCAGGTGTAGTTGTAATGTAATGTAGTTAGGTTGTAGGTTGCAGTTGTGGTTGTATAGTGTGTAGTTGTAGGTTAAGTTGAAGTTGTAATTTTCTTGTAGCGGCGTTGTGGAGTACAGTTGTAGTTGTAGTAGTGATTGTTGTAGTACTGATCATTGTAATTTTGTGTAATGTTTTCTGTTTTGCCAAATCAAGCAATTCTGCAAGACTTCCTCAATTTGGGAAGTTGACAACATCAAAACAACAATTCAAAGATGTCACAAAGCGACAAAGCAATTTTGTGAGGCCAGGCTTCTTTCAAAAATGAAATGTTCTGTATACCATATGCTACATACTTTATAGTATGCTATATCTGATATCTGTATTTCAATACTATATCCGTATATATGATATATCCAATTTGATATTGCGGATTTCAAATCCAGCTAGTGGCTTTATGTTTTGTCTACTTATTATAATTATGATTGTCTACTTATTCTGAAGAGATTGCAATTATAACTATAGTAATTGTAGTAGAACTTTACTAATTTTAAATCTAAATCTATTTTTTTTTCTGTTTTTCATTTTTTCTTTTTTTTGATGTTTGTTTTTTGTTTTTTTTGCTTTTTTTTGGCTTTTTTTTGCATTTTGATTTGCTTTTTTTTGGGGGTTGCTTTTTTGTTTTACATTTTTCACATTTTTTCACAAATAAATTGATTTTCAAGTTTATAGGATTCTGGCTAAGTGGTTGCAATAAATATATATTTCAAAAACGTGAGCTTCAACATGAATCAAGCAACATGTTGTGGGTGGAACAAACAAGGAATGCCAAGATGCACCAGGGAATATGGTAGAGGATTGCCTTGTGAATTCTTTTGCTAGTCGGTAACATTGACCCTTTTACTCATAGTTTGTATTTATTCTTGGTACATGCAAGTGCACCAGCGCATCTTTTGATACCACTCTGTTGCAGGAGTGTGACTTGACTCCCCGCCGCTCACAACTTGTAACAACACACCTGCACACGGCACTACCGACTTGAAACCAAAACGATTCCCATTTTTTTTTACAAAACCCTGTCCTCCAGACCGGGCGGTGGAGCTGGCTGCTTGCCCCTTCCGACGTTGCCACGCCACTTAGACTTCCACACACTAGCCCTCTGCCTCTTCTTAGTCTTCTTCATCTGCCCCTCCACCACTGCGAATGCTTCCTGGAAAGGGTCACCGGGGGGGAGTTGGTCAATCTAAAAATTGAAGCCGTGGTGACTGAGTCTGAGTTATCTTGATTGTAGAACCAATTTGAAAATGATATGCGTGGTGCGTGTTCTGTGCAGGTGCGCATGGAGTATGATATTCATGGTACAGTACTGCGCTCTGTCCTTTTAAAAAAATGGTTTCTTCTCAATTTTGACTTTGGGACCTGTGAGGAACCCACCGTCAACAGGCCCAAAGGAATCCAAAAAACACATGCAAATTATCTGTAGGGTCCCACCGTCAGCCTCACCAAACAAAAATGCATAGCCCAGTCAAAAGACTGGACTCTTTCCCAACCTCTTGCCACGAAAAAAAATCCAGCATTCTGTTCCAAACGTGATTTGTTGCCAGCTTGCACTGACTCTTTCCAATTTGGAGTTTGGACCTGTGAGGAACCAACCGTCAACAGGCCCAAACCCCACCGTCACCGTCAGGCTCACAAAAAAAAAAGCATAGCCCAAAAAAAACTGGATTCTTTCCCAACATCTTGCCACAAAAAAAATACCAGCATTCTGTTTCAAAAGTGATTGTTGCCAGCTTCAACTCTTTCCATTTTTGAGTTTGGACCTGTGAGGAACCAACCGTCAACAGGCCCAAACCCCACCGTCACCGTCAGCCTCACCAGGGGGAATGCATAGCCCAGTCAAAAGACTGGACTCTTTCCCAACATCTTGCCACAAAAAAATCCAGCATTCTGTTCCAAACGTGATTTGTTGCCAGCTGCAACTGTTTCCATTTTTGAGTTTGGACCTGTGAGGAACCAACCGTCAACAGGCCCAAACAAATACAAAAAAAACATCATGCCAAACGTCAGTGTCAGCACCCGGCTGGAAAAGATCAATCGACCATGGCAAATTTGGCTGGAAACATACAACATAGATATGCCAGAGCATATTATCTAAATCTAAGTTACATCAGGTTCATTAAGTCCATCAAGATATCCTAAACCCTTGTTTCTTAACCAAGTTGATGAATTATTGGTCCGCCCTGGCCCCCCCCCAAAAAAAACAATATGGAAATATATCATACGCAACATGATGACCACAAACACCATCATGAAACACATGACCAACATTGACCAACATGTTAAAACACTTCCTTGTTAAAAAACGTCACAACCAAAAACCAATTAATTATCTTTGAGAGGCACGCACCAGCCCAGCCCTTCCATCCATTCCATCCCAACCATCCATTCTGTCTGTCCCATCCAAAATCCGACCAGGTTTCAAAAACCGAGCGTAAGAGAGATGAACCTGTCACACAAGTGCCACGCCTGCCACCTACTTTTTACTAAGTTGTCCGAGCCTTGAGCCATCTTGAGCCACAACATCCGATTTGAGCCATGAGCGATGCCCTGTAAAATACCCATCCGACCGTTTTTTTTGGTGTTACAGCGCCCCAAGCCGGGGAGTCAATTCATGCAGGTGAAACCGGGACAGATGATAAAATCTTCAGACCCTCACCGACAGAGATGATAAAATCTTACAACCCTCACCGACAGAGATGATAGAATCTTATGCCTTCAGAAAGGCAAAAAACAGGGCACTTAGGGCACCCAGTTAACATCAGCAACTAGAGACCGTATTGGATACCATGAGATTTCCAGACAAAGCAACGGTGCCCAGTGATATGAGCCTCGATCTCCACTTTGGTTGCCGGTTCTCCCCTGGATGCGGAGGGTTGGTCCATCTGCACCTTGCAGGACAGGCATCTGCAACGCTGAGAAAAATTCGTTTGACTTGCAAGAAGACGGTCAAACTCCATCAGTGGTTGACACGTTTCCAAATTGCAACTGAACGCTGCAAGAAGTCGTGCAAAAGTGCCATTCACTGCCGTTTTCTGCCTCCTCTGTCTGGGCAGCCAGAGGGCTATCGAAATTACTTGCCGCGAACGGCGACATGTCCTCGAAACAATCGACAGCCGGTGAAATTGTTGGAATCAAATAGATCTGCATCATGATGATCAATCAATCTTGTACCTCTGTATATCATGAAATCTTGACGCTTTTCGGGTGTTATTTCTGAGGCGGCGATGGTTTGCATGATCTGATTTAGTGAAGACTTCCGGATTGGAAAACCAAAATTTGCTGCGCGTCTATGTTGTACGTTAACCCAAACCCACCACTATCAGGCCGTGATATCAATCTGAATGGAATTCACGGACCTGAATGGAATTCCTGGTCTCCCGCCTCCGCCAGGGAAGTTCTAGCACCAATACAGCAACCCATAGTAAACGACCTCAATGCCATCGAAAGGCAAAAAAAGCCGATCCAGGCAGCTGCCCTTGAGTTTTTCCAGTCCTCTGTGAATTCAACGTATTCAACGCTTTGATCAGCAATCTGTACCACGAAAGAACCAGTCTCAGGCCCCGGCTGAGGCCCACGGAAAAACGCGATCGAAACGGGCTCTGCTTGGCAGGTTTAAGGAGCCCTTGAACCTTGACCTCGGGGCAATCAGCAGCCACCCATGAGGACAGCACAAGCAGGGATTCTTATGTTTCTTGATCAAATTCTGAACTTTCTCATTGCACAGCACACCCAAGACATGCCCCCACCAATACTCAAAGCTTGAATGACATCACCCTGCGCATCTGTTCCCTGATCAGATGCGAGATGAGCACGTCTGCCACACTTGATTCAGTCGTTCTGCTGCACCTTGACTGGGCCCCCAAGCTGACGCAGGGACTGGAAGGCCCGTCCAATGGCAAAACGGGCGCTTGGCAGTGCAAGTCTGTGAGAGCCTTGTTCGAACCTGGATCCCAAAATGTTGAGGCTTTGAAGGGGAAATCCCCACCCAACGAATCTGTGTGACTTCCTTATAAATCTGCTGGTTAGTCGGCGATGCAGCATTTAATCGAGCGGAACAAAAAGAAGGACCGATAGCTAGTGTCTGTTCCCTTCACATGGCTCGATAAAGTTGATGCAAGAGTGCGCGTGGTGGACTGTATGTGCAAAGTGTGTGCAACCCATGTGACATCTAACATGCACCCAGCAGCAGCTTGCAGAGATTCATGTGATAATCCCATTTTGGTCAAATCTTCTTGGACTTCTGATTGGTTGCCACTGGGTTCCCTCGATACATGTGTCAACTATGGAGCATTTGCGATGCATGCACTTGCAGGGTGCAAGCTCCTGTTAAAGTGCTGCGTCACATCATCAGTAAAGTGAAGATTTTTACTGACTAGTGCAGTGCTGGGACTGTCCTCCTCCGAAGTGCTGTTCTTCCTTGCCTCTTTGAGTCTTTGAATTTTCCGTGGAATTCCTGAGGTGCTGTTCTTCCTTGACTTTTTGGGATTACTACAATTATTCGTCTTCGAAGATTTCCGGCCAGATCTTTTTCGATAACTCGGGCCCATCAGATGCTGCAACGCCGCTTTCGGGCGCTCAAGGTGAGGAGACAGAGGCATCAAAGTGGGCCATGAGCCTGCCACCGTCAAGGGTCTTTAATGATTAAATATCCAATTGAATTCAGTTCTTTTAAGTCTTTGTAGCTATAATGCCCATGTGATCTGGATAGGTCAAAAAGAACCATCTAAAAGACCGAAATCAACCCTTGCTGCTGATGCCTCTCTTCAAATACATCCATGTTGCCCGGAAATATATCCTGACAACAACCGTCTCTGGTGAGGTCCGCCCACCACCTGGCAATTGACTTGATCCCCTAAAAATCAAAATATATGTTTCAGGCAGACGGATTCTGATTAAGTATATAATGTACATATGTTTTCAGAATTGATGCTGGCAATTGCGGGTTGGATTTATTGGAAGACAGGCTACCTGAACTGAATCAACTAATGTATCTATCGTTGTTGATTATTTGCTGTATTTCAAAGCCCTGCCGAGTTCGAAGTGCCCCAAATCATATTCTGTCGCAGCTAGGATTGACATATCTTGTCTGTCCCAGGGGTCGCTCAGAGCTAGCGTTTGCCAAGGCATGTTGAACGATGGAGCTATAGCCGCACTGCAAGGATGGATGGAAAATGGAAAATATAGGTTGATAACCACAACTAATCAACAACTCGCAATTCCAGCACTTTTTTCGACCTGCCTATTCGAACAAACCACGATGAAGAATGCCCACCTGCAACTTAAAGAGGGTTCAACTGCTCAAAAAAGCGAGATAAGAATCTGTCCCCATCTGGGACTGGATCAAAACTTCAAAGAAGTCCATCTCCGTGGCCTCTACACAGGCCGACGCCTCTACGAGCCCATCTGAGTCTCCTGGCGGAATGGGAAACTACGGGCGGTCGCACAAATGGCACAGGGGTTTGGCTCTGCGCTACGGTGGGAAAAATTCGGGTTGGTAGGATGAAGACTGGACTCCAAAAAAGGGCGATGTCGTAATGTAGTTTCTTATCTTCAACCATCCAAACAGATTTTAGTTGGGTCTAAGCCTAAACGCACTTGACTTGACCTGGGAAACTGGGGTCGAATATTGTTGCTGATCATTTCAAATGAAGTAAATGCGCCTGGTATGGATGAGATGAGCAAGGAACCGGGTACAGCATTCAATAGTACTCGAGGGAACATTCTGCGAAAAGTACATTTTGCATAAACAGCGAACAAAAACAAGGGGAAAACAGGAATCGGTGCAGAACTCGATCTTAAATACGGTTGCGTATGGTAGTTTTCACTGGCATATGATATGGCATATATGGGTATGGCTCAAAAAACGGGTATGGATCGTTCCGCGGGTGATCCGGACGTATGGAACGCGGTCCGAAAAGATACGCAGCGGTCCGGAAAAGCAAGCATCGAAAACGCATTCTAATTGCAGCCATTGCGGTCCGGAAAACTTAGCACCCAAAAGGCGATCCATTTGCAGCCAGTGCGATCTGGGACATGAAGCAATATAGAAAAGCAGGTACAGACATCATACTTATTATGTTCTTTCCAAGGTAGCAACATAGCTTACTGGAATCGAGTAGGAAAGCAAATTGCAAAAGGGGAAAAGGCACGCAACTTAAACGTTTTGAGTGTTTCAGACCTCTTTCAGACCTGTTTCAGACCTGTTTCAGACCTGTTGTATGCCCATTGTATGCTATCATTATTCCTGACATGGTGCTAGTAGTAGAGGTACCAATGCTTTGGTTGGTGGTGGTGGTGGTGGTGGTGGTGGTAGTGGTAGTAGTAGTAGTAGCAGTAGTAGTAGTAGTAGTAGTAGTAATAGTAGTAATAATAGTAATGGTAGTAATAGTAGTAATAATAGTAATGGTAGTGGTAGTGGTAGTGGTAGTGGTAGTGGTGGTGGTAGTAGTAGTAGTAATAGTAGTAGTAGTAGTAGTAGTGGTAGTAGTAGTAGTAGGAGTAGTAGGAGTAGTAGTAGTAGTGGTGGTGGTAGTAGTAGTAGGAGTTGTTGTAGTTGTAGTAGTATTAGTAGTAGCAGTAGTAGTAGTAGTAGTAGCAGTGGCAGCAGCAGCAGCAGCAGCAACAGCAGCAGCAGCAGGAGGAGGAGGAGGAGTTAGTAGTAGTAGTAGTAGGAGTAGTAGTAGTAGTAGCAGTAGTAGTAGTAGAACTAGTAGTAGTAGTAGAACTAGTAGTAGTAGTAGTAGTAGTAGAACTAATAGTAGTAGTAGAACTAGTAGTAGTAGCAGTAGTAGTAGTAGTAGCAGTAGTAGTAGTAGTAGTAGTCGCGGTAGTAGTAGTAGTAGTAGTAGTAGTAATAGTAGTAGTATTAGTAGTAGTAGTAGCAGCAGGAGTAGTAGGAGGAGGAGTAGTGGCGTGGTGTCTGATTGGAAGGTGTTGCTCTTGTTTCTGTTCTTGGCTTGTACTTGTTCCTTTGTTCTCTTGCTGCGCGTTTTTGCTTCGTCTGAATCAAGGTCACCCCCCCGCGTCCCATAGGTACAGCTCAGAAACAAAACCAATACATGCCCAGGATCTGCAATTACTGAGGTATGGATCATGGGTATGGATCATAGGTATGGATCATGTCCTCTAAAGGGGCATGGATCATGGGTATGGATCATGGGGTATGGATCGCATGTGGTACCGGGGTATGGATCGGAACCTTACATTTTGAGCCGCAGCCATATATATATTATATTATATATAATATTGCGCAATACCCTGCCTAACCAAAATCAGTTTGATGGTCCAGTCACTGGTCCTGATGAATTGCCTAAAATATATGTCCATAGCCGATTTGCCTACCTTTGTTTAACAAAACAAGCGTTGTTTGCGCATGCGAATGTTGCCTGCCACAAGTGAATTTCACAGCTAAGAATGTCTGTTACAAAATTTGGAAGCATTTTGTTGCAACAAAAAAATGATTCACATTGAGAATCTCTGTCATGAATTGCATCCATTTCGGGGGGGCATTGTGCTTTAACAAAAAAAAAGTGTCACATTGAGAACATCTGTGCTAAAGGCATCCATTTTGGGGGCACTTTGCCCTAAACAAAAAGGGTTTTACATTGACAACCTCTGTCATAAGAGATACCATGTCGGGGGTATTTTGCAATGTCACATTGAGAACATCTGTGCTAAAGGCATCCATTTTGGGGGCACTTTGCCCTAACCAAAAAAAGGGTTTTACATTGACAACCTCTGTCATAAGAGATACCATGTCGGGGGTATTTTGCACTGTCACATTGAGAACATCTGTGCTAAAGGCATCTATTTTGGGGGCACTTTGCCCTAACCAAAAAAGGGTTTTACATTGACAACCTCTGTCATAAGAGATACCATGTCGGGGGTATTTTGCAATGTCACATTGAGAACATCTGTGCTAAAGGCATCCATTTTGGGGGCACTTTGCCCTAAACAAAAAAGGGTTTTACATTGACAACCTCTGTCATAAGAGATACCATGTCGGGGGTATTTTGCAATGTCACATTGAGAACATCTGTGCTAAAGGCGTCCATTTTGGGGGCGCTTTGCCCTAACCAAAAAAGGGTTTTACATTGACAACCTCTGTCATAAGAGATAGCATGTCGGGGGTATTTTGCAATGTCACATTGAGAACATCTGTCCTGAAAGGCATCCATTTTGGGGGCACTTTGCCTTAACCAAAAAACGGATTTACATTGACAACCTCTGTCATAAGAGATACCATGTCAGGGGTATTTTGCAATGTCACATTGAGAACATCTGTGCTAAAGGCATCCATTTTGGGTGCACTTTGCCCTAACCAAAAAAAGGGTTTTACATTAAAAACCTCTGTCACAACAGAAAATCGAAGTTGACAACACCTTTCACACAAAAAGCATCCATGTTACGGGCATGATGTTAAACAAAAAAGAGTCAAAAAACAACTTTGACATAAAAAGCATCTATTTGGGGGGCATTTTGTTTCAACAATAAAAGGGATTCAACATTGAGAACTGAGGCAGTCTTTGCCACATGGCACCCATTTCGGGTGCATTTCCGCTTCAAGACAAACAGGTTTTAGTTCCGAGAACATGTCTGTTATAGACTGCATCCATTTTGGGGCGATAATGCTATACAAAAAAGTGTTTCAATTGGTCACCAAGGGCATCATAGGGAATTCATTTGGGGGCATTTTTCAGCCAAAGAAGATCGATGGTGAAAACATGTCTGCCATACACGGCATCCGGCATCCATGTTGGGCGGTGTTAAATTTCCGTGCAAAAAGTGTTTCAATGCTGAGGATTTCTTCACCAAAGGCATCAACTTTGGGGGCCGATTTCACAGAATTGGACTGCCCTAGTGCCCTAATCACATCCAAGATCAATGATCACAATTTTGGATCTGCACGTGACATTCGAGTCAACTAGGCTTTCTTCAGCTGAAATCGTTGAAACTCCTGGGCCGACAAATCATTTTCATGATCCGATTCTAGTGCTACTCCTTCAAATGGTCTTACATTGACGCCAGAACAAGACCAGGACCCAGAGGGTTTCTTTAGAGTTTCGTTTAGGGTTTCTTTAAGGTTTCAATTTAGGGTTTCTTTAGGGTTTCATTTAAGCTTTCTTTAGGGTTTCATTCCAAGCTTTCTTATCAGGATTTCTTTTCACGATTTCTAAACGTTCAAGTGGGTTCCTTTAGGGTTCCTTTCGGGTTTTATTTGGGGTGTCATTTAGGGTTTCTTTAGTTTTCGTTTAGGGTTTCATTTAGGGTTTCTTTAGAGTTTCAGTTTGGGTTTCATTTAGGGTCTTATTTAAGGTTTCTTTAGGGTTTCAATTTAGGGTTTGAATTGTGGGTTTCACTCAGGAGTTCATTTAAGCTTTCTTTAGGGTTTCATTCAAGGGTTTCTTATCCGGATTTCTTTTCACGATTTCAAAACGTTCAAGTGGGTTCCTTTAGGGTTCCTTTCGGGTTTTATTTGGGGTGTCATTTAGGGTTTCTTTAGTTTTCGTTTAGGGTTTCAAATAAGGTTTCATTTAGGGTTTCTTTAGGGTTTCAGTTTGGGTTTCGTTCAGGGTTTCTTTAGGGTTTCAGTTTGGGTTTCGTTTAGGGTCTCATTTAAGGTTTCTTTAGGGTGTCAATTTAGGGTTTCAGCTATGGTGTCAGTTCAGGTTTCATTAGTTTTTTTTTCAGAGTGTTGTTTAGGGTTTCTTTGGGATGTCATTTAGGGTTTCATTTAAAGTTTCTTTAGGGTTTCATTTATGGTTTCTTTTGGATTTTTTGATTTGTTCAGGGTTCATTTATGGTTTCTTTAGAGTTTCGTTTAGGTTTTAATGTAGGGTTTCTTATCAGGATTTCTTTAGGTTTCACCTAGGGTCTCTCTAGGGTTTCATGTAGGATGCAAACAGAACAGATTAAAGCAAAAGAAAATCAAAAACAAAGAGACAATAAAGACAGGAAGCAAAGAAGCAAAGGAGCAGGAAGTAGAGCAGCAAAAAACACATTGCTGAAAAAAAAGTAGAATAGTAGAAGTAGAAAGGCACATAAGTACAAAAGCAGAGAAGCAGGGAAAACAGAGAAGCAGAAAAGCAAAGAAGCAGGAAAGCAAAAAGAAGAAAAGCAGAGAAGCAGGGAAAGCAACAAGCAGAGAAGCAGGGAAAGCAGAAAATCAGAGAAACAGGAAAGCTTAGAACCAGGAACACCAACAAAAAATCCAAAACCTGCCGCGAAAAAACACAAACAAACATAAATAGCCCTCCTTTAAGAAAGGGGGAAAAGGCGCACAATGTCCTCCACAGTTCAAGTTTTTTTTTTTTTTGCGGTATGCAAACTAACATATCAATATAAATTCCGTTGTTTTGGTGGGTTGCCAATTTCAACCAGGAAATGATTGGGAACAGCTTCTTGGATGAGGATCGCCGAGATGCATCGAGATGCACCTTTTCATTGGCATGTCATTGATTTGACCGAGTTTCATTGTAACGATTTTGCACATTGGGGTCCAGCCATGTCCTACATTCATTCGCTTGAATAGATGTGCATTAGTTCGCCCAAAAATCATCCAACAATACCGGGAAACAAAACGAAAATCCACGCTTCAAGCCTTGGCCAAACCAAAAAATGCCCTGGTGAAACGTCCAGGAAGGTCACCTCTCACCCCAAAGACCTCAGCCCGGCCTCAGCTTCCCCTGCTGCAGAGTAGGCTGTTCATGGACTGAAGCGTCTCCGGATGAATCGGAGTTGTGCTTCCCTCCAAGAGCTCGGCGGTTGACGGCCTCCGCCGTCTCGGCCGTCTCGGGATGGCACCGTGAAGGGAAGAAAGGGAAGAAAAGTGAGCAACGGCCTTGAGTTTGGACTCCTTTGGACTGATGAAAAAGATGTCAAGTACAATTTTGTACCATGTAAATGCACACATAATTCAAAGCTTGAAGAATAAAACACAAAGTTCGATGAGTTGACATTTTAACATAATTTGGATATATTTGGATGTGTGCCATCTTCGTTCCAATCTTCCATTTGCACATGAACTCCAACCTCAGAATGCATCTGTTCTGTGAAAACATGTTTTTTCGCTCAAACGCTTTGACAGCCTCAAACATCTCAGACTGAAACTTGCAACGCGGCACCTCGCGGCATCTCTTCTTTGCAAGCATCTTTTGCTAAACTTTGAGATGTCATGAGATGTACATGTAAACATGTTTTGGCACTTCCATACATGACGCGATTTGAGATGATTTGAGATGATTTGCAGATTATTTGAGACGATTTGCGTAAAGTTGACATGTTCATGAAGTTCATGAAGTTCATGAAGTTCATGCATGATCGCACTTCTTTATATGAATAATTCTGAATAAACTGCTAAACTGCTACACTGTTGCCTACGTTTGGATCTCCGGAGGTTCTCACCGCCCCATGGCTCTTCAACGGAATGGGGACAGGTCCAGGTCCTGGTCCAACAGGTCCAGGTCGGGCATCCCTGTGTAGGGGTTAACCATGGGGATCCCCTCTATATGAGGCGCCATGGAACCACAGATTCTGGTCGTTTCGGGATACATCTTTCGTTGAATGTTCTTGAAACATGTTGAAACCATCCAATTTTGAATGGAAAATTCTGACCCATACCCAATGATGTAGCTGATATTATATATATATATATATTTAACATTATTTAACTAACTATAGATATGTGTTTTACCATTTTGACCATCATTTTTTGTTTCACCATTTTAGGAGTTCCCCTTGGGTTCCCCGTTGTACTTCGGTGTACCCAGAAGTGGATCCGGAAGGCCTGTCAATGCAAAACTGTAAGGGGAGTCCCAAAAAACACTTGTCAAATGCAATGAGAATCACATATAGAAGCCACTGTTGTTCCAGTAGAGAAGCCACTAAACCACTGTTTTGACTCAGAAATGAACGGTGGATAACTGTGGATTCTTGCGAAATCCTGCACCACTTTTGGATGGTTGAAACCCATGGGCTTTTTACCACATCCCTCAACTGGTGTAGAATTTGGCAACCATCCACGGTATTGCATACATAAATTATATCTGTATACCCCGTCATATCCCACTATATTCCCATGATATTTCCAGTAAATCCCATGGTCAAATTGAGAAAAAAAACGGGGGACCTTTCGGAGGCTTCATTCAACGATCCTACTGACCTGCACTGCAGCTTCATCTTCAAGGATGTTGCCCTGGGAAGAACTGAGAACCTGAGGCGTGAACTGTGAAGAACTCTGGTGATGGAACTTGTGAAAAATGGAATCACAAATACTGGTAAAATACATGTAAATTATACACAATTAGATCTAATCGGTGATTGCACCAAAAATGATTTTATGATGATTAGATTAATGATTATATAATGGCATCCCCCTACCTAATATCAACCCCCAAAAAAATGGTCCCAAATTCGAGATCCTCCTGGAACAGTGTGCCTCATCCTGAATGGAAAGGGATGTTTCAATTTTTGCCATCATTTTTATATTTTCATAGATGTTATAATTTTAGCAAGGCAATGGAAAAGTTGTTTGCTGCAATGTTGTGGCAATGTTTCATTAAAAAAAATCAACTTTAAAATGTCAGTGCCATGAAAATGAACCGTTCTAACCACTGAATGGTTTTAAAAAATGTTTTCTCGGAAAACATGTGTGTTTTCATTCAATTTTTTTTTGAATAAAAACAAAAAAAATACATTTGTTGTGTCATTTTTCGGAGATTCCATCCGTTGGGTTGCATCCATTGGGTTCCATCCGTTGTCAGCGTTGCCGGGAAGTGGACCTGGAAGGTCACTGGGTCCAACTTCGAGCTCATCTGATTGGTTTTAAAAAAAATTGCAACGATCTATTTTTTCAAGATTTTTTTGAAAAAAAACATGTTTGTTCAATCAATGTTTCCATAAAGAAACACGATTTTCCCAGCATTTTCCATGTTTTTTTTCGCATTTAGAGTTCCACCATGTGGTCGACCATCCAAGTCGTCACGTATCCAAAACGGTCGAGCCCCAGCCTACGGAAGGGTCGGGTCCAAGTCCCCGAGCCATCGTCTGTGGATTAACCTGTTATACCATGAATAACAAGTGTCCGTCATTGATAGTTATATTAATATTGATGATATGATACGTTAGTTTAAAAAAATATATTAGTTAATTAGTTAATATAACTGTTCCTAATAGTTATAACCTGTTATTAATGATACTATTTGATGAACCTGTGAAATATTATTGTTATCACTATGTTGTTTTTCTGTTATGGTATGTTTTAAAAAATACTATGAACTATGATAATGTTGTCGACTGATTAGTGTGAGGGCCCCCCCCCCAAACAATTTTAGTCTACTGAATAACAGACCATTTTTTTGCGCCCCCCCACCTTCAACAATTTTTTTGAATTGATTTCAATTTACTTTCAATTTACTTTCAATTTACTTTCAATTTACTTTCAATTGACTTTCAATTTACTCTCAATTTACTTTCAATTGATTTCAATTTACTTTCAATTTACTTTCAATTGATTTCAATTGATTTCAATTTACTTTCAATTTACTTTCAATTTACTTTCAATTTACTTTCAATTGATTTCAATTTACTTTCAATTTACTTTCAATTGATTTCAATTTACTTTCAATTTACTTTCAATTTACTTTCAATTGATTTCAATTTACTTTCAATTTACTTTCAATTGCTTTCAATTTACTTTCAATTGATTTCAATTTACTTTCAATTTACTTTCAACTGATTTCAATTTACTTTCAATTGATTTCAATTTACTTTCAATTTACTTTCAATTGATTTCAATTGATTTCAATTTACTTTCAATTTACTTTCAATTGATTTCAATTTACTTTCAATTTACTTTCAATTTACTTTCAATTGATTTCAATTTACTTTCAATTTACTTTCAATTGATTTCAATTGATTTCAATTTACTTTCAATTGATTTCAATTTACTTTCAATTGATTTCAATTGATTTCAATTTACTTTCAATTGATTTCAATTTACTTTCAATTGATTTCAATTTACTTTCAATTGATTTTAAATTTACTTTCAATTGAAATCAATTTACTTTCAATTGATCTTCAATTGATTTCAATTTATTCAATTTACTTTTAATTGATTTCAATTTTCAATTTACTTTCAATTTACTTTCAAGGGTTTTTGTTTTTTTCAACCCCAAAAGTTGTGGCACCATTAGAGTACATCCAAAATTCATATTATTGAGGAACTCAGCCACTAATGGGGTACCACTTGAAAAAATTGTTTGGGTGCGGTTTTTAATAAGGGTGTAATAGGAATCTAATATTTGGGAAAACCTTGTCTTTTAAAGCTTTCCTACAATACGGTTTCCCAAAGTTAAATGGACCAGCTTTACTCAAAGAAAGTGGAGAAATGTATTTTTCACCCCAAAAGTTGTTGCGGACAATAGAGTTAAATTCCAAACATTCCCCCCCCCCGTCCAAATTCGGTTACCTGTTCTCCTTTCCCACCCACTAATCTACTACTTAACACTAAACTCACTACCCTCCACACCGAAGCCCATCTCCTCCCATTTATCCCCTATCCAAGAGCCCCTTTTGACCCATTTACCTCATCTCCGCACTCCACGTCCATCCACCCACCTCTATAATTTTTTTTTCCCTTCTCCTACCCTCTCTCCCCTCACACCCCCTGTCTATCATTCCCCGAAGAGGTTATCTTATCCCAACTATACACCTCGACCATATTATTGAGTAACTCAGCCATTGCATGGTTTTTGCAGAAATCATCATTTGGAAAACCTTGCATTTTAAAGCTTTAACACAACTATGGCTTTCTAAAGTGAAAGGGCCAGCTTTACCCAAAGAAAGGTGGAGAAAGGGTTTTGTTTTTTTTTCAATCCCAAAAGTTGGTGCTCACAATAGAGTACCATCCAAACAATTATATTATTGAGTAACTCAGCCACTCATGGGGTACCACCTTGAAAAATTGTCTGGATGCTGTTTTTTAATAAGGGTTTAATAAGGCATCTAATTATTTGGAAAACCTTGCAAGCTTTAACACAAATATGGTTTCTAAAGTAAATGGACCAGCTTTACTCAAAGAAAGGTGGAGAAAGGGTTTTTTTTTTTTTCAACCCCAAAAGTTGTTGGGCACAATAGAGTACCATCCAAACATTCATATTATTGAGTAACTCAGCCACTCATGGGGTACCACCTTGAAAAATTGTCTGGATGCTGTTTTTTAATAAGGGTTTAATAAGGCATCTAATTATTTGGAAAACCTTGCATTTTAAAGCTTTATCACAAATATTGTTTCTAAAGTAAATGGACCAGCTTTACTCAAAGAAAGGTGGAGAAAGGGTTTTTGTTTTTTTTTTCAACCCCAAAAATTGTTGGGCACAATAGAGTACCATCCAAACATTCATATTATTGAGTAACTCAGCCATTCATGGTTTTTTCAGACATCTAATTATTTGGAAAAGGTTGGATCTTCAAGCTTTAACACAAATATGGCTTTCTAAAGTAAATGGACCAGCTTTACTCAAAGAAAGGTGGAGAAATGGTTTTGGATTTTTTTCAACCCCAAAAGTTGTTGGGCACAATAGAGTACCATCCAAACATTCATATTATTGAGTAACTCAGCCACTCATGGGGTACCACCTTGAAAAATTGTCTGGATGCTGTTTTTTTAATAAGGGTTTAATAAGGCATCTAATTATTTGGAAAACCTTGCATTTTAAAAGCTTTATCACAAATATTGCTTTCTAAAGTAAATGGACCAGCTTTACTCAAAGAAAGGTGGAGAAAGGGTTTTGGATTTTTTTCAACCCCAAAAGTTGTTGGGCACAATAGAGTACCATCCAAACATTCATATTATTGAGTAACTCAGCCACTCATGGGGTACCACCTTGAAAAATTGTCTGGATGCTGTTTTTTAATAAGGGTTTAATAAGGCATCTAATTATTTGGAAAACCTTGCATTTTAAAACTTTAACACAAATATTGCTTTCTAAAGTAAATGGACCAGCTTTACTCAAAGAAAGGTGGAGAAAGGGTTTTTGTTTTTTTTTCAACCCCAAAAATTGTTGGGCACAATAGAGTACCATCCAAACATTCATATTATTGAGTAACTCAGCCATTCATGGTTTTTTCAGACATCTAATTATTTGGAAAAGGTTGGATCTTCAAGCTTTAACACAAATATGGCTTTCTAAAGTAAATGGACCAGCTTTACTCAAAGAAAGGTGGAGAAATGGTTTTGGATTTTTTTCAACCCCAAAAGTTGTTGGGCACAATAGAGTACCATCCAAACATTCATATTATTGAGTAACTCAGCCACTCATGGGGTACCACCTTGAAAAATTGTCGGGATGCTGTTTTTTAATAAGGGTTTAGGCATCTAATTATTTGGAAAACCTTGCATTTTAAAACTTTATCACAAATATTGCTTTCTAAAGTAAATGGACCAGCTTTACTCAAAGAAAGGTGGAGAAATGGTTTTGGATTTTTTTCAACCCTAAAAGTTGTTGGGCACAATAGAGTACCATCCAAACATTCATATTATTGAGTAACTCAGCCACTCATGGGGTACCACCTTGAAAAATTGTCTGGATGCTGTTTTTTAATAAGGGTTTAATAAGGCATCTAATTATTTGGAAAACCTTGCATTTTAAAGCTTTATCACAAATATTGCTTTCTAAAGTAAATGGACCAGCTTTACTCAAAGAAAGGTGGAGAAAGGGTTTTGGATTTTTTTCAACCCCAAAAGTTGTTGGGCACAATAGAGTACCATCCAAACATTCATATTATTGAGTAACTCAGCCACTCATGGGGTACCACCTTGAAAAATTGTCTGGATGCTGTTTTTTAATAAGGGTTTAATAAGGCATCTAATTATTTGGAAAACCTTGCATTTTAAAACTTTATCACAAATATTGCTTTCTAAAGTAAATGGACCAGCTTTACTCAAAGAAAGGTGGAGAAAGGGTTTTTGTTTTTTTTTCAACCCCAAAAATTGTTGGGCACAATAGAGTACCATCCAAACATTCATATTATTGAGTAACTCAGCCATTCATGGTTTTTTCAGACATCTAATTATTTGGAAAAGGTTGGATCTTCAAGCTTTAACACAAATATGGCTTTCTAAAGTAAATGGACCAGCTTTACTCAAAGAAAGGTGGAGAAAGGGTTTTGTTTCTTTTCTACCCCCAAAAGTTGGTGCTCAGAATAGAGTAC